TGTGTGTGTGTGTGTGTGTGTGTGTGTGTGTGTGTGTGTGTGTGTGTGTTGTTTTGTTTTTTCTTACTGGTATTCTTTTTATTTTTTGGTTGATTGGTTGGTTGATTGGTTTTGTGTTTTTGCAGGCAGTGTTTTTTAATGTAACTTTAACTGTCTTGGAACCCACTCTGTAGACTAGGCTGGCCTCGAACTCACAGAGGTCTCCCTGCCTCTGCCTCTGCCTCTGCCTCTGCCTCTGCCTCTGCCTCTGCCTCTGCCTCTGCCTCTGCCTCTGCCTCTGCCTCCCGAGCACTAGAATTAAAGGTGTGCATTACCTGGCTGTTTATTTTATTTTTTAATGTATTATTATTATTATTTTAGAGAGAGAAAGAATAACTTGAAATTGTGGGTAGAAAGTGGAGAGAATCCAAAAAGAGTTAGGAGAGGGGAACATAACATTCAGATATATTTATAAAAAAAAAATGGTATTATAAATATTTTTTTTTATAAGAAGTGAATGCTTAAGACAGCCCAGAACCATGCCATTGCTGATTTGTCCTTCTGACTTGGAGAAGCCAGTCTGAGAGCAGGCCTGATATGCTGCATCCACACCTTGTACCTTCCTTTTTACGTACTTTTATGGCCTTTGTTCTCTCATAGCTACTTCCTAATGTATGTGTCTCTCCTTTTCTCCCTCTGTCAGTAGGTCAGGTTCATTTACAGTTCTTTTAGTCAGTGCTATATGTCTGCTTTGGGAGCATGGTACACCATCTTTTGGAAGTTGGTTGTGTTTTTTTTTTTTTTTTAATAGATAATGTTAAAATCTTAAAATAATATATTTGTGGTTTCACTTCCAGAGAATCATGTTCAGCACCTTCAGTCGGCCTGCGTAAGCTCTCACCAATTTCAGCAGATGTCTAAAGACTTTGAGGCCTGGCTTGACGCAAAGAAAGAAGAGCAAAGAAAGTCTCCCCCAGTGTCAGCCAGACTCGAGGTCCTGGAGTCCTTACTTAAAGCTCAGAAAGACTTCAGCAAAACTTTCACTGAGCAGTCTAACATCTATGAGAAAACGATTGCAGAAGGCGAAAGCCTGTTGCTAAAGACACAGGGCGCAGAGAAGGCAGCCTTACAGCAACAGCTCAACACGATGAAAACCAGCTGGGACCGGTTCAGGAAGCAGGTGAACGAGAGGGAAGACATGCTGAAACACTCGTTGGAAAAGGCCCTCAAGTACAGAGAGCAGGTGGACACTCTGCAGCCGTGGGTTGACAAGTGTCAGCACAGCCTGGACCGGGTGAAGTTCTCGTTGGATCCCGCCGAGGCCGAGAGCTCCATCGCTGAGCTGAAGTCTCTGCAGAAGGAAATGGACCACCACTTTGGTATGGTGGAACAACTGAACAACATGGCCAACAGCCTACTCAGTGTCTGCGAGGTAGACAAAGAAGTAGTTACAGAAGAAAACAGGTCATTGATCCAGAAGGTAGACACAGTCACCGAACAGCTTCAAAGTAAGAGAGTCTCCCTGGAGAACATGGCCCAGAAGTTTAAAGAACTCCAGGAAGTTTCCAAAGAAGCCAAAAGGCAGCTCCTGGGTACAAAGGAACAGCTGGATGCCCATCACACCCTGGGACCCCAGGCGGTCAGTAACAAACACCTGACCATGCTACAGGCTCAGCAGAAGTCCCTCCAGACCCTGAAGCATCAGGTCGACTTGGCAAAAACGCTCGCTCGGGAGCTGGTGGTAGAAGCCACGGATTCAAAGGGAACCTCCGACGTGCTGCTGCAGGCAGACGCCTTAGCTGAAGAGCACAGCAGACTAAGCCAACAGGTTGATGAAAAGTGTTCTTTCTTAGAAACCAAGCTCCAGGGCATCGGACACTTCCAGAACACCATCCGAGAGATGTTTTCTCAGTTCACGGAGTTTGATGACGAGCTGGATAGCATGGCTCCAGTCGGTAGAGACGTAGAAACACTGCGAAGGCAAAAGGCGTCCATCCAGACCTTTCTGAAAAAACTGGAAGCCCTCATGGCAAGCAACGACAATGCCAACAAAACCTGCAAAATGATGCTGGCCACTGAAGAAACCTCTCCTGACCTCATGGGGATCAAAAGGGACTTAGAGGCCTTGAGCAAGCAGTGCCACAAGCTGCTGGACCGAGCGAAAGCCAGAGAAGAGCAGGTGGACGGTGCCACGGAGAGGCTGGAGGCGTTCCACCGCAGGCTGGAAGAGTTCTCAACTCTCCTCCAGAAGGCCGAGGAGCACGAAGAGTCGCAGGGCCCCGTGGGTACAGAGACGGAGACAATTAACCAGCAGCTCGGCGTGTTCAAGGTAGGGAATTCTTTTTTTTTCCTCGATGTTTTTATTATTACGAGAACTTTCTAATTAGTGTGGAAAGGCAATTTTCTGTTGTGTAGTGACTCAAGTTGTCTTGTACACGCTGCTTCAGACATTGGTTTCCCAGCCATTTCTTTCCTGGTAAATTACAGTCTATTTCCTATTCTTTCTTTCTCTTTTCAAATGGGTGTTCTTATCCTTAATTTCTTCTCTAAACTTTTTTTGCTGTAAAAGTTTATACTTTTTAAACGCAGTGTGAGGTCTCATGTCATAATCCCAGTTTTATATCAATCTTCTGCTCATGCCTGATGAGATTAGAAGTAAGTGGTTTTTGATTGGAGCAAGTCATGCCTGCCACTTGACAGCCTCAGGGATAACTTAATAAATGGAACGTTACCTTAAAGCACTGGCTGCTGCAGTACCTTTGGATTTGGCCCATTTATGACAGTGAGGGCGGAAGCTACATCATTGCATGGTACAGAGAGGCAGGTTCATTCCTGGAAACAGGGATGTCGCAGGTTCTGCTCTGTTTGTGAGATGTGTTTGGCTTTCCATCAAAGACTAGTATAGAAATATTGATCCGTTAACAAAGGAAGACCAAACAGAACCAGGGTAGTAAAACTGTATCCTGGGCTCTCAGCAGAGAGTATGTGAGACCTTGTGCTCAATTTCCAGGTTCAACTGTTTACCATGGGAAAAAAATAGAAATTAAATAGAACTTCTGAACTTTGTTGTTGTGTTCTTACATCTGACATATTGTTTCCTGTGCTTGTTGTTAGTAATGGGGCTTATGTGAGCGAACTCTAACAGATAATTTCAAGTATCTATTACCACTGCTTGATACTCATTGCATACCTTGGAAGCACAGCCCCTTCAGGGCTTAAAAATCTGTGATCCTAGGGGCTAGAGAGATACAAACAAAGATGCCATTTGTCTGTGTGAAACCGTAATAATGGCAGCAAGCAGCAGGTGTGCAGCTTGTTCACTCCGTCAAACACTTTGTAGAGTCAACCTTGCAAAGTGGATGCTGTTCATACCTCTCGTTACACAGGCCAACTGGGGTTGGTGATTCGCACAAGGTCACGTGGTGATGATACCACAGCCTGGGTGTTCCGGTGAAAACCATAGAATGCCTCAAGCCGGCTGTGTTCTTCATGTCTCAGATGATGCCTCCTCTGGGATGTTTTCCTGTTGGCTTTCCTGCGGCCTACGTCACAGGCTTGCGTAGCAAGCCACTGTCACTGTTCATTTTAGCCCAGAGCACCAGGAACACCCACTTGAGAACAGTGTTTTGTAAACTGGCTGCCAGGCGGGACTTGAGTGCTGCAGACTGTGTGTGGCACCTGCTGGTAGGGTGGGGCCAGACATCTCGTCACCTTAGTGTTTGTATCTTTCCCTGTTAAAGCGACAAAGGATCTTGCTTATAATACAGCTCTTAATTCAGTCTCTGGTAGGTCTTGGTCTTTTGTTAAATTATTTTCAATACTTTTTTTTAATTAAGAAGATTAAGTGAAATAATTTCTGTTGCATGAAAAGCCAGTCATCAGTCGTCATAATTTTTAAGAGTGAAACAAAAGCATTGAGGGGCTGGGTCTGTTTTCTTTATAAGCTTTCAAGTGTAATCTAGTTTGATATTAATCTGCCATGTAGTTTTCCTTCACTCTAATGTCATAGACAAACTCCTGTGATGGTTTTTCTAGTACACAGTGGACTTCTTGAGAGCAGGGCTGAGACTTAGTGATCACTAATTACCACATGATGTACCAGTGGGAAGCCCAGCATTTACCCCATGTAAAGTAGATTTATCACAGGTCTTTCTGCTCCCTGAAGAAACAGAACTGAAGAAATTGCTGTTAGCTTTGACTTTATTTCTTGAAAAGGACAAAATTTATTTATGCGTAAAATATCAATTCAAATATAATGACTAGAAACTTGTTATTCTAAGTCAGATGTTCAGAAGAAGATGACAGAGGTTTGACAGAAGGTCAGTGCCTCTTCAGTGAATGGCAGTTTTTAAACTACATGTTTGATCTCTTGGACCTTCGGGTCCCTAGTCGCTGGATTAAAGTCTAACGAGTGAGGTCCTTTTCCCCCTGTTGGGAATTCAAGGCATTGCTTTCCTGCCATGCTTCTCTACTCTGGCAACTCAGGTCTGTCGCACAGTGTCGTAACTCTAAGGACTGAATATCAGAGTCAATTCTGTCTGTCGCTCAGGATGAAAGAACGCTGCTTTGTCGTTCTCGAGCCCTAACCCAAATGAAAGAGACGTTGAGTAATATAGATGGTCACTTATTTATTTGTTTGTTTGTTTGTTTGAGACAAGGTCTCACTCACTGTGTCAACCTGGCTGGCCTGGAATTGCTGTATAAACCAGCCTGGCCTCCAACTCACAAAGATCCACCTGCCTTGCCTCTTGAGTGCTGGGATTTAAGGAGTGTGTCACCACACCCAGCATTCACATTTTTATCAAACACTTAGGCAACTGACAACAGCATGTACAGTGATGCCTGTGAGGTCATTAGTAGTCAATCATATCTATTCATCATCACAATCATTGTCACAATATTGAACTGATTTAATTTCAGTGAAAACCAAAGAAAGTAAACAATATTAATGCATAGTGTCACATCTTAGCTAAATCTGGATCCTTACCTCTCTATATACTGTGACAAAATGACATAGAACAAATAAACAACAACAGCAAAAAAAAAAAAAAAAAAAAAAAAAAAAAAAAAAAAAAAAAAAAAAAACACTTAGACCCTGCTTCCTGCTCATTCTGAATGCCCTTGCTGCCTCCTTTGTAATTCATTTTGCCCCACAAGCATCTCTGATACAAGAGGATAGGAACTGTCAATTCTATTTTCAAAATGAAGATAACGTTTCATAGAGCAGAGAATTGTTTTTAAGTCAAGTTGAAATCAGCGACATAGAGCAGAACACGTTAGGACGCTATAATAACTTCAGTCTGGTCCAGGTGCGGGCGTTATTTAACCCAGGCATTATTTGAATATTGGGTAAGTGAAATGCAAAATATCATGGCACTTGAGAAAGAAACCAGGAAGTTTACACACATATTTCCTAAAATTCTGGTTGCATGATCCCTAAACAACTCCTTTGATGTCACCATGTTCCTAATGGTAAAGTTAAAATGTCCAAGTGTTTTAATAGTAGTATTCAGGGTCAGTAAAGATCAAAGGTGAGCATTTATCCATTTTAGGAGAGAGTTGGGTATGGAACACATCTCCAGAGACTGGATTCTGTTAGGCTGTTGGCCAGCAGGCTTGGTTCCTTCCTTCAGAACTTTTAAGGTGAAAATACCTTCACAGTGGGAAGTACCTAGAGGAACAGGCTTTGGGGAAGGCCACGTTCTTTAGCCACATTGAAGTAACATTTACGTCCTTTTGATGGAAAAGCACATCCAGTGGGTGTGGGTGGGACAGAAGCCCCTCCTCCACATTCGGAGACCCCACCTTCACGCCTAAGCCAATGCGTGTTGTCAGTGCTGGCCTAACACATGGCCGCCCTCCTTCCTCTGTCACACAGCGGACGACCTACACTGTGAATCTGGAAGGGCCAGTGACAGGAGTGTGAGGGCTGGCAAGGGCCCTGGTAAAGACCTTTGCCACCAGGCCCATGTCCACGTGATGGAAGGAGAGAACCAGCTCCTACTGTGTGACTTCTGACCTCTGCCTGCATGTTAGATCACATAAGTATCTCACCCATACACACACATCTACATTCCCACATGCACTCTTACACATCTGTAATCATCTTAATGGCAAGACTGCATTGTTTCTTTCACCCCTGTTTTGACACGGAGAGCATTTCGAGGTTCTGCTTGGCTTTTCTTCCCTGAAGGAAGTTAAATGGGATTATTAATGTGTGTGTTGGTTTTGCTTGCTTGATGCTCTTTAAAAAACAAGCAAAACAAAACATGAGCTTTCACTTCTTTTTGGATTTTTTTTTAATCACCTGGAAAGTGGCTGCAGGGGCCAGGAGCTTGCTGTGGGTACCGTGGTCGCCGTGGGAAGAGCGGTGCTTGTTGAGGATGCTGAGTGCAGTCTGCACCAGATCAGACCCCGAACCCAGTCAGGGCATTCAACCTCGCTCCCTCTGCCGCTTCCTCTTGAGTTACCTCCCAGCCAAGTGAGCAGCTGCTGCTCACACGCTGCGGTCGCTCCTGTGGTGGCTATTAGCTTAGAAACTGTGGAGCGCCCTCAGTTTTCTTTAGCTAGCCACTCGCCCACCTTAGAGAGAACAATAAAGCCATCCGTGCCTGCATCATAACCGCAACACAAAGCTCCTGGCTCTCTTTAGCTTCCATATCCAGTGCTGTGGGGCCAAGATGATACACCTCGTGTTTCCACAGTTTCCACTTACTGGTGTAATAAACATCTCTAATCTTTCAGGTCCACAATTTCCGTGTTTGGGGCTTATAAAATCAGCTTTTAATGACTTTCGTAGAGCGGTTTGTTGCACTTGGTCAAAAGATTACTTGCGCGGACTTTCCTTTAAGAGGAACTTGCTTGAGAAGGCTGGCGAGCCGGCAGGGCGCTGTTGCTCAGTTAGCACCCTCACGGGCCTGTCTTAGCAGAGGGCGGGGAGTTTAGCTAGATTGTCCCTGGACATGACATGGGTCAGTTACATCTTGAAAACAGCACTGTGATTTTACGTGTGAGGTAATTGTGGTGCTGACTGCTTTGTGTATTTTTCTCTCGTGAAAATGTGAGTGCTTAGTGTAACATATCCTGAGTTCACTAACCATGGGGACTATCACCTTTGGAGTAGCTAGCTACACAGAACAAATAGAAGATGAAAGATGAGCCCATTTTTGTTCATAAATTTGACCCTTACACGTTAGTCAAGATATAGCTTTCCATGTGATCTCAATATACTGCAAATGATACAGTAATTAACAAGAATACAATAAGCTGAAATCACTAAGGTGATAGGTGATAAGAATTCACACTCATGCGTAATCAGCCAGCGCACAT